TGATCGTCCAGAGGGCTCACGCGCCACCGTAAGTCATTCAGGTCACTGGTGAACTCTCAGCTCGCATCATCAGATGGAGTGGTGGGGTCAGCTGTGGGCACTGGGTGGGGGCTAGAGGAGTTAGAGTAGGTTGGGTTAGTTGGGCTTTGTTTTAGGGTTAGTTGGGATAAACTAACTCACACTGGCAGAGGCTGAGAACCAAAGAGGCGTGTTTTGCTGACTGGTTTGCTGACTGCTGATGACCCAGCAGTAAGTCCTGGTTTCTGCTCTGTCTGTGCTCTGCAGGGAGCAGTCGTACATGGAGAGCGTGGTGACCTTCCTGCAGGATGTGGTCCCTCAGGTAAACGTTTCTAATCTGTTCTTAGATCTATGTTCAGCGTTGTCCTCTCTAGATCAGTATTTCTACGTCCAGCTTCAGAGGGTCCAGCCTCAGCTCAGAAATGATGGACGGTCTATTAAAGGGACTCAGAGTTTCATTGGATCAATCATCCAAACTTGGTCACTAAAAGATCAGATTACCAGGCTGTTGCCATGGAAACAAGATGGCGTTCACTTTGTGAACTAAAATAGTTTTTCTGCTGTAGTTGTAGTGTAGAAAGGTATTAAAATCATTTCTTTAACCACGAGTTTTAGGCTCTGAGTCTAACTTGGTCTTCCTGACTCAAAATGAGGGGATCTGTTGGTTTCCTGCTGATCCAGCTGCTCCTCTTTAGACCTTTTCTGTCTGACTTTCTGTTGCTGTAGAGTTTGATGAATTCTGTGTGGATCATCTCTGCCTTCTGTCTGTCTGATCTTTCCAACCACAGGCTTATACCGGGGCTCCGCCTACGGATGAGAAGGAAAAGATCATCTGGGTTCGCTTTGAGAGAGCTGACATCAATGGTGAGTGTTGACCCGAATGCTCATAGAGAGTCCCTCTATTAATGATCTCAGGTTATTTTAAAACAAAATAAAAATTAGTTTTTTCTCAGGAATTTATTATAGAAGAAATGTTATTTTCTTCATATATTAGTGAATGTGGCATTTTTCTGCTATGACATTGAATGTTTCCTTCAACATATACAGTTTAAATGTTAAAAGTTAATAAGGTCTTTTTCTGTCCGTCAATCAGAGCCTTGGCTTAAGATGTTGAGTTTAGTATTTCACTGAGTGACCAATAAAGGGTTAAAATCGTCTCTTCTTTGGAAGGCAATGAATGGGGTGGATGCTGTGAATGCTGTGAATGCTGTGAATAGTGTGGATGCTGTGAATAGTGTGGATGCTGTGAATG